TTGATGTATAATATGTCTATATTACTATTCTTGTTACTGAATAATTTGATTTAAACAAACCACCTCTTTTTCTTTCAAAACTAGAATAAAATATTCAGCTCACAGCCTTTTCACTTTGTATTATATATAGCATTACTAGGGTTAATCAATTCATTTCTGACAAATTCCATTTCTTGTTAAATTTTTTAATACTTATTCAACCATTTGGCATTTGCATGCAAAATTGTAATACCTGAATACATGGAAATATCTAGATTTTGTTAATAAATGGCAATAAGGCCTAGAAGAAAAATATGTTTGTTTCAGCTTTCCCGACCGACCCTAATTTATAGTTGTAGCGTTCCACCGGCTACACATTCGGATTTAACCAGATTATAAAACACTCGTCATTGAAGACAACATCCATTTATTGAACCGGAACTAAGACAAAGACAAGGGCAATAACTCTACATATAGAAACACATACAAGATAGAGTTATCTTCCGTACATAAAGTAATTACACAAAACTACAAACTCTACATCCCTTCCTTTCTCGCTCAGAAACATAATTTTCATCCAGAACTATCTAATACAATTCACACTTAAGGCATACTACTTAGTATCAACAGAAATCATATGATTTTTTTTTTTTTTTCATAAGAAAAAATAACAAACATAAATGGTGAAAACATGCATAACAAATGCACACTCAGATAATAGTACATTTGGAATAGTTAATACATGATCCAGAGTTCACACACAGTTTTCCACTAATACATTTCAAATCCTTCAAATCTTGACGGAAGTCTCTTGTTTCTAACAGGTCGTTGATTGACATTCAGATCAGTATTTTGGACACTTGCATCATTTGCAACATTAACAGGTGCAGAACTACAATCACTCTCTGACTTACTATCAGCATTTGTATCAAGTTTCATTTCAGAGTTATCATCAAGAACTTCATCATCAACAATAGATTGTGACTCATTACATTGTAAATCATTTGATGTACACATACTCTCAATCTCTCTCTCATTAAATTTCTTTAAATGAGTAACATTTCGCTTGTATTGTACCCCTTGATCTGATTCAACAATTGCACTGTTGCCATTCATCTTAACAACTTTAAAAGGAGACCTGTTAAATGGAGTAGACAACTTATTTTCACGGTCTTGTTTCACAAGAACTTGGTCACCTGCACGAATATCGGTTTCGGCTGCCATACGACGTTTATCTGAATACATTTTACCCTTCTCCTTCCTTTCCGCATCGCGGTCGCGTACTTCAAGGTCATCAACATTATAGTCAAAAAGCTCAGGCAACTTCGTGCGGAGTTTACGCCCGAAAAGTAACTGAGACGGACAAACACCAGTTGTCGAATGTGGTGTATTTCGATACATCACAAGAAATTTGTCAAGTTCAGATTTCCAATCTCGACCTTCGGCAAATGCAATCCGAACACGTTTCATAATTGACCTATTCTGTCGCTCAACCTCGCCGTTTGCCTGTGGCCATAGGGGGGTTGTTTTATGATGAACAATGCCATTTTCGAACATGTAATTCTTAAAATGTTCGCTAACAAACTGTGGACCATTGTCGGTGTGGATTGAATACGGCAATCCATGAGTTAAACAGAACTTCGATATGAGACCTGTTATGTTCTCTGACGAAATATTTTTCGTAATCGCGACCTCAAAATATCGACTGTAATAGTCTACAAGCACAAATATATACTCTTTACTTGGCAACGGCCCTAAAAGATCAGCGGCAAGATGTTGCCATGGTGCGGAAGGCAATTCAGTGCGCTTCATCGGTTCAGGTTTACTCGGTTGACCCACTAACTGGCAACCATAACAACTTTTGCAAAATTTTTCAACACTTTTATCCAACCCTGGCCACCATACTTTACTTCTAAGCAGCGATTTCATTGCAACAATGCCCGGATGGTCTTCATGCGCAAGCTCAAGAACCTGATTACGCAACTGTAAGGGTATAACAATTCGCGTACCACGCAATACTAACTTGCCAATCGAACACAACTCAGTACGCACTGGCAAATATTGCTTAAATTCCATACGATGCCATTGCTGGCTTACAAGACACTCTCTTATAGCACACAGTTCTGGATCATTCTCTGACGCTCTCTCGATCTCACGTGTTGTCATCGCCATCGGGGTAGCTTCTTTAGCTACAAACCTCACATAAGCATCCTCCAAATCAAGCGACTTTTGAGCAGGGTCATTCTTAACAAGACGCGAAAGTGTATCTGCGATATTCCTTGGACCAGGAATGTACCGAACTTTATATGTGTATGGTTGCATTCGAAGCACCCATCGTTCTATTCTAGCACAAACTTTCGACTTCGGAGAATATATACATTCAAGCGGCTTGTGATCAGTGAGTAGCTCAAACTCTGTACCGTACAAATAAACATGAAACCTTTCGCACGCCCAAACTAAGGCTAGGGCCTCTTTCTCTGTCTGCGAATAGCGACGTTCCGTATCACTTAAACTACGGCTCGCGTACGAAAGAACTCGATGTTCACCATTTTGCTCTTGCACCAGCACCGCCCCGAGTCCTACAGGACTAGCATCAGCTATGACTTTAGTCGGCGCAGATTTGTCATAGTAACCCAACGTTTTGGCATCTGCCAGACGACGCTTCAATTCTACAAATGACTCTTGTTCAGATTTTCCCCATCTAAAAACTGAATTCTTGCGCGTCAACTCTCGTAGTGGAGCTGCTACCGTTGCTAGATCTGGAATAAATCTAGAACTATAGTTTACAAGCCCTAAGAAACTGCGCACTTCACTCGAAGTTTTCGGTTCGCGTGCTTCGACAACGGCTTTGACTTTGGCATCAGACGGAGCTATGCCACGACCAGACAAAACATGACCCATAAATACAACTTCTGACATATTCAACTCACATTTGTCCCTGTTAAGGGTAAGCCCCTTTTCATATAACACTCTCACAACATTTTCAAGACATCTATCATGTTTTTCTTGACTACTTGCATGTACAATGATATCATCCATAATATTGTGCACCCCCTCACACCCTTGCAACACTTGTTGCATGACCTTCTGATACATTTCTGGGGCACAACTAATGCCAAACATAAGACGTTTGTACCTAAATAAACCCTTATGTTTTACAAAAGTAGTTATTTCTCGAGATTCAGGTTTTAAATCAATCTGGTGATATGCCCAAGTAACATCAAGTTTGCTAAAAACAGTACTACCATTCATTTCATGTAAAATTTCATCAATTGTCGGAATAGGGTGAGGACTCGTTGCACAGCAGTATTGACCTGACGCATGTCCACACATAGTCGAATATCATCACCTGAATGTTTGGGTACACAAACAACTGGAGACACCCACGAACATGGCTCGTCAACGCGTTCAATGATGTCCAAATTGAGTAGCTCATCCAACTTCCTGTCGAGTTTGTCACGCAAACTGTAGGGTATACGTCTCATAGGCTGTATTACTGGCTCAACATCTGGGTCGATTGGTATTTCTAGTTGAAAGGATTTCAGCTTTCCTACACCTTTGAAGCCATTAGGGTATTTCTCAAAAACAGTTCTGTTGTCCAGATTGACAGCTTCACTAACACTGCTAACGATATGTAACACGCCCAACTGCACAGCTGTATCTCGACCAAGTAAGGCTTGTCCTTCTCCCTCAATGACCACAAATTCCACATCTGGAATGACGGTTTGGTTGTATTTCACAGTTGCTGTGAAGATCCCAGCCACTTTCAGAGGTTGTTGACTTCCATAAGCATAGAGTTGTTTCTCAACTTTGGACGAAACACAGTTTATGTGGTTTTTCTTCAGATAGTTCCATAATGGCATTCCCATTATATTACAGCTCGCCCCTGAGTCAATAATCATGCTGAGGTCAACATTACCAACGTTCACAACCGGGCTGTCATTTAACACAGAATTTTGGTGGACGCGAAATGCGTACACTTTGTCTTCATCACTCTGGCCTGACTGGTCCGTAACGTGATGAATTTTCCCTGGTTTCGGATTCCGCTTTTCTCCACGGTCTTTGGTTTTACACATTTTCTCAAAATGTCCAGTCTGCTTACACTTATGACACTTCTTTCCCCTTGCAGGGCATTTGGGGTCATTCCGCAAGTGTCCTTCATAACCACAACTAAAACATTTACTGTTTGTCTTTTTCGCAAAATGTTTCTTGTTTTGTACACTGACCTTGTGTACAACACCGGTTATGGCCCCTTGCGCGCGACCTTCAGTTGACGTGGCTTGCCTCTCAGAGTCTTCCAGGGCTCTTGCGATTTCTCGGACTTGAGTAAGGGTAAGGTTCCTACCTTTTTCTAGTAATTTCCGGCGTAAGTTATGACGAACACACTTGTCAATGATTTGGTCACGTATTCTCTCATCAATCGCATCCCGGTTCCCGAATTCACACGTTTCTGCTCTCTGGCGTAAGCGAGTAATATACTGTTCAATAGTTTCATGTTCTAACTGAGTCATACTTCTAAATACAGACCTCTCGTACGGAACATTTGCCTGAGGTTTGAAGTATTTGTCCAAGGCGTTCACGGCTTTGGCGTACTCATCCTCTCCTTCTCCCTCCGGTAAAGTAAAGAATATATCTTGCACTTCCATTCCCGCTGTATGGAGAAGCAACGCTTTAGCTTGATAAGCTTCCTTTACGCCTTTGCCTTTAGCGTAGAGTTCGAATGCCCGACGCCATCTTTTCCATTTTGATGCAATGCCTGTCACATCTGCAACATCAAAATGCGGGATTGCTTGCACATCTGGAACCAAAACACTGGCCATCGTAATTTCTCGAAGTTAAATATCCTCGTCGCCAATTTTATGTAGCGTTCCACCGGCTACACATTCGGATTTAACCAGATTATAAAACACTCGTCATTGAAGACAACATCCATTTATTGAACCGGAACTAAGACAAAGACAAGGGCAATAACTCTACATATAGAAACACATACAAGATAGAGTTATCTTCCGTACATAAAGTAATTACACAAAACTACAAACTCTACAATAGTGCCGACCCTAAATTTTTTTTTTAATGCTTTAGTCCCATGAAGTGCAAGATTTCACCCAGGGAATCATAGTCTCCAATTTTGCAAGCTTTTCAAGACAGAAAGAAGTTTGAGTCACCTTTCTATTATAAGTTTAAGTCACAGAAATGCTTGAAAACACCATTTCTTTTGTCATTAATGTTACTTCTATACACGTTTTGATTAAAGAAGTAAAAAAAAAAATTTTCAAAAAAAAAAATTTGCCTACCTACCTACCCTATATTTTTTCAGCCTGAAAGAGGAAACAAACATTTTTTTTCTAGGCCTAACTCAATTTTCACAAAAAATGAAATGAATTTGAAGCTCTTAACTACATCTTGAAAAATCTTACAAAATTGATTGGGTCCATGTACCATAATTTTTTTAGGAATATTTATTAATGGCACATGCAGTAGAAAAAAAAGTTTCTTTTTACACTAGCAAAAACTTGCTATGATTTATCATTTTTAGATGGAAACACTTGACATAAAAAACTAGAAATATGTCCATAGGACATGAATGCCCCACCGAGGATATATTAGTAAAGCAACATGAAAATTTGTATGTACATAAAATTTGATCAGTTTGGTTCAGGCAGGGGTTATAGTTACTTGGGAATGTAAACATAGGTCAGAACCAGCTTCCGAAGCAAGTCTGGTAGTGTCCATCCCTAGATGCATCATCCATGCAAGTTTGGTTCAGGTAGGGCTTTTAGTTACTTGGGAATGAAAATGTAGGTCAGATCCAGCATCTGAAGCAAGTCTGGTAGTGTCCATCCTTAGATGCATAATCCATGCAAGTTTGGTCTAATTAGGGCTTATATAGTTCCTTAGGAATGGAACCTGTACAAGGATGTTCTGCTGTAAATATAAATCCATTATTTTTCTTTAACTGTCACCCAACCCACTTAATTATCTGCAAAATGTAGGTCAGATCCAGCATCCAAAGCAAGTCTGAAAGTATACATCCCAAAATTCCTTATCTAAGCTAATTTAATTAAAGTATTGATAAAATTCAATCAGTGAATTGGAAAATAAAGGTCCGATTCTAGCATCTGAGGCAGATTTGGGACATTCCTAGATCGATGCATTATCCATGCAAGTTTAAATCATGTAGGTAGGGCTTATAGTTACTTTAGAATTGGAAACGGACCTGCTCCTAAAAATTTAACCTGGTCCCTCCTCTGAAAATGTAGGCCAAATTTTGGTCCAGGTAGAATTTACAGTATACTTGGGAATGGACCTGCTCCTAAAACTTTAACTGGGATGCAAGGATGCCGAAGCTAGGCCGTATGGCATAAGCTCATTTCAACTTAGTCGAGGTGAGCTAAATTTCATCAAATCCATGGTTTATTTTGGAGTAAACCAGTTCTTAAAAAGATTAACCAATCATATAAGGTCACATACATAAACATATTACTTAACTCAGTTGAATTCAGAGTTCCGTTTATATTTAACAGAACTTAATTCTTAGTGTAAAAAAAGTGTATTAGTGCTGGGATCTTTTAAATATTTCTTACACTTAAAATGAAGCAATTCTAAAGATAAGCTCAATGCATATTTAAAGAATAGCAATCTTTTAATATTCTTTTGAGATCTGATGAAACACAAAGACTATGGTACATTTAATCCAGTAGAAACAAAGAAGTGGGATAACCCCAAAATTCTATCTTCCAATAAAAAGTTTTACTTGAATTTTGCATTCAGAGAGGGAGATATAAATCAAATATCACTATAATTCCCTTCTCTGCCCCCCCCCCCCTTACTTTCTTAAATAAAATTTGTTACAAGTAAATATTTAATCACTTACAGGAAAGTCCACGACGTAGTCGGCAAACCACCGGGGGCGCTGGCGTACACGTGTAGATCGTCTAGGCTCCATTCTATAAAAATGAAATCTTTAATTAAAAAAAACAATACTTAATTTCCTTGAAATGCAAAATACAGTAAAACACCTTTATAGCAAACACATACACTTAAATTATGAAGAATTGATGCTTACCAGTTTTAATTCCCAACTGCTTTAAAATATTTTTTAAAACTTAATTAAAGGCTATTACGAATAACATTAAATTTATAACAAAGAAGAAGTGCCTGTTCCTGGTTCTTAATACACTGGTGACTCTCCATCTCTCGAAGTTCAAGGAATGCCAAAAAAGTTCTCGAGATCGAGGGGTTCAAGAGATAGAAAGTAAATAAAATCTGGAATTTTCAGTTCCGATCATCAATGTTTTTATATTATATATACCGAAAGTACATGTAAATAAAGTCATTGCACGTTTTCAATCATATTTTACAGGTAATTTACTTGATATCAACAACAATGATCACTTTTCCAATAAATAAAACGATTTCCTAATGCGATAATATTTATTTGTTCTTATTTCATGATTACATGAAACCCGAATAGCAATTGTCAGTTTAGCTATTCCGCAGCATGATCGGGTCCTTCACCTTTTCTTATCGGTATTCAGTCCTTGAGAAAGGAATTTCTTGTGCAGCATCTGCAATACTGGGATTATGTAGACTCTAATAAAAGTTCATAATCATATCTAACTTAATGAAACGATCGTCTATAAATTATTTTCTAAAAATTATCATCTCGGTTTCAAGTCAAAATAATTTGTGAATTTGTTTATAATTTACCAATAATCAATTAATTCTTATAGCAACACACGGACGACCAATAGGTGTAGTGTCATCTATGTAAACACCCAATTAACACCTCCATGCCAGGATTGCCAGTCTCCGGCATTCACTGTTTTCCAGGTAAGTCCAGGCTGTATCAATTTTATGCTTGATTGGCGTTTTTACACACGCAATCAAAACTTCGAGAGATAGAGAGTAAAATTCATTGAAATATGTGTAACGGGACCCATGTTTAAGTTCGAGAGATACAGAACTTCGAGAGATCAGGAGTAAATTTGCTTAGTTGTATGGAGGAAAAAAACGGAACCAGAGGTTCACTTCGAGAGATGGAGAACTTCAAGAGATCGGAGTTCGAGTCATCGAGAGTCTATGTATTATATTATGTACAGAGAATATGTGTAACGGGACCCATGTTTAAGTTCGAGAGATACAGAACTTCGAGAGATCAGGAGTAAATTTGCTTAGTTGTATGGAGGAAAAAAACGGAACCAGAGGTTCACTTCGAGAGATGGAGAACTTCAAGAGATCGGAGTTCGAGTCATCGAGAGTCTATGTATTATATTATGTACAGAGAAACCTGTTTTAAGAGGCCACTTGTGGGAGAATGACAAATTGGCCACATAAGACAGGTGGCCACTTATTCCAGGTTTCAAACCAATGAATAAAAAATTGCGACCACAGTTGTATATTTATTTTCACATGTATCCAAATCCACAATTTCAACACATTTTTTAAAAAAAATCTTGGAAAGAAATCTGTTTTGTTTTGTGTGCGTGTGTGTGTGTGTGTGTGTGTGCGTGTTTGTAATTTTAGTTTTACAGCCATAGAATTTACATCACACAAAATCATGAAACGTTCTAACAACTCAGCATTTCCCTGATGGTGTGTAAAGCTTTTTAGTTTTTCTAGATATGTATTTATTTATATAACATAAAAGGTTAAACACGAGACTGACCGCTTGACTTGGTAACCTCTGGCGAAATTATAATCAATGTATTGAGTTTATATTATGAACATATTCAACAACTTACTTTCCTATATATATAAAGACACCAAAAAACATTTGTTACCAATAAATCATTTAATTATATTAATTCAATCATTAAATCCTGACAGAATTCAAATTAAACCTGCAATTATAAATCATTAACTCATAATCAGCTGTTTATGTTTGGCTTCGTATGGGGATACGAGGTCACGTGTCAGACGAAAGTCATGTGACGAAACAGACAAAATGGCCGCTGAAAACAGGCATGTTGAGCGCACGGGACCTAAATACACTGGCCTCTGGCCGCGTTAGACAGGTGGCCGCTTAAATGAGTTAAAATATAGTGAAAAAATGAACGGGCGGGATTGAAACTGGCCGCTCATGGGGAGTGGCCTTTGATTAAGGGTGGCCGTAACAGCAGGTGCGACTGTATATGCAACTTCAAAATCTTGCATAGTTTTACTTTGATTCCACACTTCTAGTGTACAACCAACCAGGATTTGGTTGCTCAAAACACTGGTTAGCTTTAACCACTGGTTAAATCTCTTATCCAGTGGTCAAATTTAACCAGTGTTTTGAGCAACCAAGTCCAGAAGTCTCTGTCATGACGGTAGTTCTACTGGTTTGTATTTTTCCAAAAGCAATAAACTTATAAAAAGAATAATGATTCTTTAGTCTCTTTTATGTGGAAAGATTGCAATAAGACTACAACTGTAGGAGTAGCCTTTAACAAGAGGCCTATGGACCACATTGCTCATGAGAACAAGATTTCTTAATGACCCCATCCTATTTTTGTCTTTTCTTGATTATCTCCCCTTGGAAAGGGATTCAACCCGTCACACTAACATTTCCATTAATCTAAGGATGCTTTGTACCAAGTTTGGTTAAAATGGCCCAGTGGTTCTTGAGAAGAAGTTTAAAATGTGAAAAGTTTACAGACAGATGCACAACGGCATCTTCACAAACCACGGCCAAAATATACGATCCTCTCCCATTCTGGCCGGGGTTGCATGAGACGAGAATATCTTGTAGCTAATCAAAATATTGACCAATGCGAGTAAAGCATAGTCGGAAATTGACCTTTCATTCGACCTTTCAATACCCAATCACAGTGTA